TGCTAAAATCAATGTTAGTTCTTACCTACCTTAACATTAGGGGTGTGGCTGAAATATATAGCTGTAAGAAGGAGCCACGGAGTAGCAGTAGAAAGGCCACAGAACATGGAGACGAAAGGAGACCACAGAGCATGATTAGAGATCAGGAAAGTAGGGGAATGGAGACTATGGTAAAGATGAAAATTTTCCGTCGCTGTCAGGTTTCGAACCCGGGAGGTATTGAGTGAGAGGCGAGCGCCGTACCGTTAGACCACGAGAGCCCCCAGATAATATTTTGTAAGCCTCTGAAAGATTCGTTACCTCGTGCCCCAAATGTACCAAGCAGTAAGGGGTTCTCGCACTTAATATGAACTTTTAGTTGTATGCACTTAATTGCTGAAGACCATTTTGTGTTTCTGTGTGTTTTACGGGGCGTGGAGATAAAGTAAAATAACTGGGCCAGCCAGAGGCTTTATTGTTGGATTGTTTAGGTCTACTTTTACATGGATACACAAATGTTAACTGTTCATGCTCCCTGTAGAATTCTCACAGCTTTCATATTTCACTTTTCGGCTGAAATGTTTGAAAAAAAAACCCAACACCCCCCCCCCCCCACAAATAAATTTAAAAACCAGAAAAAACCCAAATAAGACCAAAAAAACGAACAAACCATCAACAAACCATCTTATGTTGTGCGTGCTTTTGCCTCAATAAATTAAGTGAAAACCAGTCTCCCCCTAATCCGAGCCTTCTTTCCACATTCATCACCTATGTACCCTTTATAGTGCGCTGCAGTAGGATTAACAAAACAAACAAACAAACAAAAGGTTTTTAAAAATAACAAAGAAATGAATAAAACAGCTTTGCTTTTGTCTTAGGAAGTTGGAATGAAAGGAAAATAAATGGTTTTAATTATAGTAGATATCACACATTTGACACTCCTTACAACTCCGTATAGTGAAACTTACATAATTCTTAAAGGTGGGGGGGGGGGGGGGGGGCGTACACCCTTAAAGTTGGGTTGATTATGGATTAAGAGATGTAGGCATTTTGACTTCTTCAGCCTCTCTTATAATTATTTCATCGAATTAGAACCTCCGAAAGTTGATTTGATCACATATCCGGCATGCTGTAATAGTTGTTTTCTCAAAACACAGTTTTTCTGTATTAGACTTTTAAAAAATTACTCTAAATTTTTGTTATTAAACCTTTATGAAATTTTCACAGAATGAAAAGAAGATGTAACTCTATAAATTGTTTTGTTACATTTTCAATATATAAATAGATTTTTGTCGATAGTGTCTGGAGTGTGAACTTTGACTGATTTTTTTTTCAACCTTGAATACCACTTCAAGAAAAAAAAAGAAGCTTTCCTAATTCGTTTAGGGAACGTTCAACATACCATCTTGTACACCTATTGTTTGCTAAAATATACGCAAAGTAACAACACATTTCCATAAAAAAAGTAATTGAGGTATTAGCTGTATAAGGCATATCAACAAATCCAATATGGCCGCTGTCTCCAGGGCAAGGAAATTTTTTTTCTAAACTTTGATCGCAAATTTGAAGACTATTCATTATGCTTGTTATATGTTTGAAATTTGGTAAAAACTGATCTACAAAAAGCGAGATAGCCCTCATGTGTAGCCGCCCTCATTAAGGGGAAACGGGTGTGTGTATTGTGTGTGAGTGTGTGTGCGTGTGTGTTTTTATGAGTGTGTGTGTTTGAGTGAGTGTGTGTGTGTGTGTTTGTGTGAGTGTGTGTGTGTGTGTGTGTGTGTGTGTGTGTGTGTGTGTGTGTGTGTGTGTCTGTGTGTGTGTGTTTCCTCCGTCTGTTCCCTCTGTATTGAGCTGAACAACGTTATGATATAAGTATTAAATAAATACCAAGCCTCCCCTCTTTCAAGTGTTTCTACTTTTAAAAGTTCATTTATTTGTTTATACTTCATTCGCGTATTTACTTATTCGTACACGTAAATGTATCATTCAGTTTGGTCTCCCAGTAGCTCATTGATCGTGTCAGTAATCTCAGTAATCCATCCGCGCATGATTAGATCTATCTACGACATAGAAGGATAGCTCGTGTCACAATTAAACGACATTAACCTGAAAATGGGAAACCGACACAAAAAAACACAACAAAAAACAGAAACACCAAACAAACTATAATGTGTCCCCGCCCCCCTCTCCAATACACACATTAGGAACATTCTAAGATTTATACCTTTCCCCGGCAACTGGTGTAACACACCAAGGGACCCTGTTTCGGTATCTATCTTTCTAACTACGTACAAGATACGATGATAAGACTATATGTAATCCTCAAAAATAGACGAAGTAAATGGGCTCAGCTCTCAAAATTTATTATGATCATTCGAATTTTTTTATACACGGTCCCTGGCAACCTGGGTGTAACACACCCGTACTCTTTATAGTGTCAAAAAAGTGTATTTCTCAATAGAGTATAAAATTACTTGGTTTAAAAACAATGTATACCATACATGGATTGAAACTGAAGAATGAATAAAACTTTGACAAATATTGCTTTTGGTGACACATAAAGGTAGTATTTCAGCAAGACTGGTTTCATACTTGCACACACACGCACCAACACGGATGTTTGATGGGGATCATTTTATGAAGTTTAGAAAATAGACATACTTTCTTGCAAGAATTCGACAAGATTCAGATCAGTGAAAAATTTGTCACGCTTGACATTTTGGTCTGTGCCGTAAAAATCTTAGTATTGGAAAGAGAAGTCACCACTGGAGAACCAAGAGCAATTATCTTTAGGTCGGTCGGTTAGCCGTCTGTTTCCAAGATATGGAATGAATACCTCTCAGATAGAGGATAGTATTGTTGCAGGATTGCAAGCCCAGGAGGTTTTGATCCCGTAATTATATAGTTTTCTGAGGATATACAGCCTCAGAACAAAACAAGTTGCTCGTCCACTGTGATGTCTTACACTGGAACAAAACATTGGCCAGGTTATTCAGAAAAGTCTTCCAGAGCTTATGACCTGGGCGAAAACGTCCCTTGCCTGGCAAATGTTATTTTGTCATCAAAGTGAGAACATTTCAGTGGGCTGATGAATCGTGTCAATGAAAAGGCTGCTTCAACCATGATTCCCCTCAGCCTGGGTGAAAATAAAACTGCAAAAAAAAGGAATGCTTTGATGCATGGCACCAATGTGTAATTACCAGCCAATGAAAGCCTTGATCTCAGTTGCACCAATTAACGTGTTTTCAGCTAGTTTTTTTTTTGGTCCGTCCCTCTTTGTTTGTAGAATCATCCACAGTATCCATCGTTTTTCTTTTTTTAATAGAGAAAGGCATTTGTTGGTGAGAGGGCATGGTGAGTAAATAAAGTACCAGTTTCATGTTTTTACTTCGGGATCGTGCCACATGGATCGGCTGAGGGTAAAGCAATGGGCTCT